ACATTTCCCCACCTGCAGCTCAGGTTCATCCAATCAAACGCTCTCTCCTGGGACATGTCTCCATGCTTTAAAGTTCAAAAGCTCTTTATTCTTCTCATACTACCTGTGCTGCAGCACCTCTTTTCACCCTCTGTCTGAAGCCAGAGCCCAGTCTGCTCTGATTGGTTAGCTGGCCGGCTCTGTTGTAATTGGTCAACAGCTTAGAGATGTCCCGCCCCTTAGCCTATCACGCACAATGTGTTGGAGCGCTAGCCAATAGGATTGCGAGTGTTACACCACTCAGCCTGAGCACACACACACACTTTGTTCTGGAGGTAAACAAAGGAGAGCACAGGGGGGAGTGTGTGGGAGAGAAACTCCCTCTGGAGGGATTGTGGCCTCTTTAAATAGCCTCCTTTTTCAATAATGTTTACAATCAATAATGAACAGATAAGCAGAAATTCTCCTGGCACTAGGGCTGCACGATATATCGTGTCGTGACGATAATCGCGATATGCGCATGCGCGATATTCACATTGCGTGGTTTAAATAAAAAGAAATGTGGGACGCATTAACTCAAACACGTCATGTTACAATTATTTTGCTGCTTGCTACAAAAGGAAAACTCATATCAGGGGTTCTTGAGTGAGTGACAGCAAACCACAATCAAATCTCCAAAGCAAACGGACCCGGTGATCAAAGGTAGAAACACTGAATAAAGTAGTTTCATGTGTTTCTCCAGGGCAGTTCGGCGCTGCTAACCGAGCTAGCTCAGCTTGTTGCTCTGATAACTTAAGATCCAGACGTCCGTGACTAAAATCCTTCATCCGGTTAAATATAGTTAAAAAAATACCAATTGTATATCATTAAAGTTCAAGAAAGGATGGTTTGCGGAAAAAAAACTGTATTTTCTTCAATTCCTGTATGTTTTCATATCGCAATATATATATCGCAGGGGGAAAGAAAATCGCAATGTCAGTTTTTTCCAATATCGTGCAGCCCTACCTGGGACCCTTTTTTTATTTATTTAAAAGCGCTATTGGGCGTCAGGTCGAGCGCTCCCTGTTCTGCTCGTCTCCCTGTGATCCTCCTTCTGCTTCTAATCTGCATCCATTTATACACAGAGACATATTGGATTATGTGCCGGATTACACGGCAGCACACATCCTGTGCTCACAGAGAGGAGGCGATCACCTGGCAGCTTGTCAGCGGCCTCGCCCTCTGAGCGCTGGCTCGACTCGTTTTACAATGCTAAAAACACAAAGAGGAGGAAGGAGTGAAGCGGCTCTGCAGGAGGAAACTCGCTGAGTCATCACACACTTTGAGATTATCTGGTGAAAAGTGAGATTTAATCTGGAAATGGAGTTTATTTTCCCAACTGCTCAAGGAAGTATACTCTGAACAGTCATGTTCACACTAGGGTTGCTCAATTAATTCTAATATTTTAATTGCAATTACGATTTTGGCTTGCAACGATTATGAAAACAACATAATCGAAATAAAATGATTATTTATTTTGTATTATTAAATATTTAAAAAGATATATATATTCTTTTTTGTATTGGTTTTTCAGTTGAATTATACTTAAAGTTCAGGGTAATCAACTGTTAAAAACATACTACACTTTTTTTTCTCAATAAATTGATGTTTTCAAAGGAAAGAGAACACACACACAACACACACACACACACACACACACACACACACACACACACACACACACACACACACACACACACACACACACACACACACACACACACACACACACACACACACACACACACACACACACACACACACACACACACACACACACACACACACCCACACACACACACACACACACCACACACACACACACACACACACACACACACACACACACACACACACACACACACACACACACACACACACACACACACACACACACACACACACACACACACACACACACACACACACACACACACACACACACACACACACACACACACACACACACACACACACACACACACACACACACACACACACACACACACACACACCTCTGTTTGATACTCAGATTTCTGGAGTAATTATACAGTTTTTGAGGAACAGAGATATTGTTTCCTGACAAACCCTGATTATAATACGATGTTTACTATTATTGCATCATGTAACATTTTACTGTAATGTTACATTTTTCATACATAGACTTTTTTTAATACATTTTCTCCCCAACGTCTGTCTGAGTATCATCCAGAGAAGGTGCAGAGTAGTTTTAATACAATATTATTTTCTTATAAAACAAGTATCAAGTACTGTTTTTGCAACATTAAGATACTTCTCTTTATTAGCCTATCACGTACAATGTGTCGGAGCGCTAGCCAATAGGAGTGTGAGTGTTACATAGTGATGTCACTATGATCCGGAAGTAAACAAAGGAGGCATTTCAGGCATGTGGAGAATACTTCTGATACAAATATTATAGGTTGAGTAAAATGTTACGTGCCATTTCATTTGATGCAGTTAGCGCTGGAACAGTCTGTAGATTTAATGTTCAGTCCGTCACAAAAGATGATCAAAGTATTTGAACGTTTTATTTATGATTTCAGTTGTTGATCGAGCAAACGCAAGCCAATCATTCGCAGGTAAGAGCTCCTTAATGTGAGGATCTGCTGCTCTTCTGTGTTTAATATCTTTGTAGACTGGGTTTGACTGAAGGTCGGACAATATTTAAGGTGTTTGAAGACGTTATGGGGATTTCCATGAGCATTTTTCTAAAAACACAAACAAATTGGACTTTACAACGGTAGCCAAGGTCAGGGTCTTTTTTTGTTAATTAGATTAAATAAGTAATCAATTATTTGGTGAAGTAAATCATTAAGTTAACATACAATGAAAAGCATGATTACCTGCAGCCTTTAAAGAGAGATGTTGAATAATGACTGATAAATCATAATCCACTCAAAGCGCTTTACAAGCTACTAACAACACATATATATGTTGTTAGTAGCTAGTTAGAGGTTTCTCCCATGTTCCCCTTTAAACTGTGGGTTTTTCTCTGGAAGTTTTTCCTTGTACGATGTGAGGGTCTAAGGACAGAGGGTCTAAGGACAGAGGGTCTAAGGACAGAGGGTCTAACGACAGAGGGTCTAAGGACAGAGGGTCTAAGGACAGAGGGTCTAACGACAGAGGGTGTCGTTTTTCTCATACTGATATTCTGAACAAACTGTGCTGTTGTATTTGCTGTAAAGTGTCTTTACTGTAGGGTATTTTATTATATGTACAGCACTTTGGCTCGACCAAAAATCGTTTAAAAATGTGCTATATAAATAAAACTTGATTTGATTTATTAAAAGAAGTTAAAATGTGGAAAACAAGATAAATAAAAAAGTCATATTGACCAACAGTGAAGTGTTAATCAATATAAATAATAAACTATGGAGGTTTAGCACAACATGAAGCCAGACTGAAAAGTGTTTTAGCTTTAAATAAATCAATATCTTCAGCTCAAAAGTGACGACAGTTTCAGAGCAAACTCGATCTACAAACAAATTCCAAAAGATTAGAAATTCCTTTCTTAAACGTAGAAGCAAGTTGTGGATGTAAATGGATAAAAAGATTAACAGAGACTTCGGCCTGGCTCTTAAAACAGCAGAAATACCAGTCATGAGAGGAGGTGATATAAACCAGTTCACTGGGAATATAAAACCAGTTCACTGGGAATATAAAACCAGTTCACTGGGAATATAAAACCAGTTCACTGGGAATATAAAACCAGTTAACTCAGGATATAAACGGATTTAACTGAGGATGTAAAACCAGACTCAAGAAAAGTCAAACTTCTCTTTTTGTGGTGGAAAGAAGTTTCCCAGCGAAGCAGGATCACACATTACAGTGTACCTGTACACTGAGGTACAAGTACACACTTTAATACAACTTTGAAAACTAGTTTCTATAAGTCATGCATCAAGCTGTTGATAAATGGTGCGTTTACAGTCCTGCCATGAATAAATAAACCACAATGACTTGATGCCACTGAGCAAACACAAAGGGGGCGGAGCAATACAAGTGTCTTCTTTTATGTTCAGACTTTACTATCAATAAAGTCATATAAAGTTTCCTTAAGGCTTTGTATAGTAATCACTGAAGGTGGAAGAAGTACTCAGATATTGTACTAGAGTAAAAGTACTCCGATGTTGTACTAGGGTAAAAGTAAAAGTACTTAGATCTTGTACTTGAGTAAAAGTAGAAGTACTCAGATCTTGTACTTGAGTGAAAGTAGAAGTACTCAGATCTTGTACTTGAGTAAAAGTAGAAGTACCAGAGTGTAGGAATACTCTGTCACAGTAAAAGTCCTGCATTCAAAATGTTCCTCAAATAAAAGTATAAAAGTATTATCATCAAAATATAGTTAAAGTAGCGACAGTGAAAGTAGTCGTTGTGCAGATTGGTCCATTTCAGAATAATATATATGATATGTTTTATAATGATTGATCATGAAAGTGTTCTCAAAGCTGGTAAAGGTGCAGCTAGTTTGAATGACTTTGTATACTGCAGGGTAGCTTGTGGATTTACTCCAGGTGGAACTAAAGTCTGATTTAACACTTGGTTATATTTCACATCATTCATCCACATCTGTGAAGTAATTAAAGGTATTCCTACACTTTGGTACTTCTACTTTTACACAAGTACAAGATCTGCGTACTTGTACTTTTACACAAGTACAGGATCTGAGTACTTTTTTCTGATTGGCAGCTTTGCCGAACTAGCTCAGAAGTTAGCACCTGAAGCTAATCTGTTGCTACTTGTGTTGTTTTGCCGAAGATAACTCCACTTTGCTCGCTTGTTTTTGACACAAACACACCCATCCGTGCTCCATCTGAATGTTAACGTTTATATTTGACAGCGAAAAGTCAAAGAAGAGGAGCTTTTCACTGGTGCTAACCGTTAGCATGTTAGCACACATGGGGAAAAGTAGCACAGCTTTTTTTTCTAACGCCAACTTTTAATTCAGAAACACTACATACCCGAAGGCTCCTCTCGGTTACTTTGACAGTGACTTGTAGCTTAGTTGTATTCCAGATAACGTCAGTAAAGCAGAGTCTCCTTCCCCCCCCTCAGAGACCGCTGAGTCCGCAGACATCGACCGCAACTAGAAACTCCCACCGCCGCTACGCCGAAAACACAACAACAATATGGCAGCGGAGTCCCGCGATGCGTTCAGGGGACACTGAAAAGTCAGGACAAATGACAATAATAAAAATAAAAATAATAATAATAATGCATTTGGTTTATACAGTGGTGTAGATAGATAGATAGATAGATAGATAGATAGATAGATAGACAGACAGACAGACAGACAGACAGACAGACAGACAGACAGACAGACAGACAGACAGACGTGTGTTCAGACGTTATAATACAATACTTAAAATACTTATTATAATTAAAAAGTGGAAAAGAGAATGAACAATTAGAAGTAATATAACTGCGTACATTTACTCAAGTACTGAAAAACTGGAGGTACTTGTACTATACTTCAGTTTGATCAGCAGGCAGGATTACACATTTACTTCCACAAGGACACCTGACATGTTAAAGGTCCCATGACATGGCCATTTCTACTGATCATAATTCCATTGTTGAGGTATACTAGAATTGATTTACATTGTTCAATGTTCCAAACTCACATTGGTTTCTCATACAGCATCTCTGTATAGTATGTGTATTCACTCTCTTTCCTAAACGGCTTGTTGGAGCTCCTGCCTCTGTCTGAAACCAGAGCCCTGTCTGCTCTGATTGGTTAGCTGGCCGGCTCTGTTGTGATTGTTCAACCACTTAGAGATGTCCTGCCCCTTAGCCTATCACGTACAATGTGTTATAGATAGAAACGCGAGTGTTACATAGTGATGTCACCATGCTCAGGGTCTGGTCTCTAGGTGAACTTGTGTTTCTAAATGTCAGCACTGTGGTCTTCTGTCAGTGAGAGTTATTATAAAAATGATTTTTAGTCTGCAGGCTCATATGTTCTGGTTCTTCTCCTCATATCAGAGCATCTTCACCACAAGACTCCACAGAGTTATATCAGAGCATCTTCACCACAAGACTCTACAGAGTTATTAAAAATGTCCTCATGTCAGATTTGACTGTCATATGTCATCCTGCAGTCACTAACAGAGGATGCTGTAAAACCATCACAGTGTCAATGTGGATGATCCCAAATATAACTCTTTGTGTATATTGCTGCTGGAGCTAAACCTGAAGAAGTAAGACATGGTTGAACAGGAAGTGGAGAAAGGGGCGGGGCTACATTGGGTGAATACTGTATTTAACTAGAAGCCAGTGGAGGTGTGTAAAGTAACTTGGTACGATTACTCAAGTACTGAACTTAAGTAGAATTTGAGGTACTTGTACTTTACTTGAGTATTTCTATTTTATTCTACTTTGTACTTCCACTTCACTACAATTCAGAGGTAAATTGTGTACTTTTACTCCACTACTTTTTAATAAGTCTTATTTTTGTATAATATAAGTCTTGAAATGCCAGATGTCTTCACTGTTTAATGTATTACTCACAGGAGTGAATGTGTGCTTAGCATCTTTGACCCGCCCATCTGACGCATTCAAACGAGCTTCAACAAGTGACATGGAACCAGGGAAGTCTTTTATTCCCACGCTCAGTGAAGGCATCATGAGGAGGTGATCTGAGAACAGGACAGGACATGCTGCAGTTTACAGGGAAAAATAACACGGTCTATGAAAGAAGCCCTATATTATATCTAATTTATTATCAGTATGTAGTGTACTTTAAAGAGTCCTCTCCTGCTGATGTTCAGGTGTATATCAGTATGTAGTGTCTCTACTTTAAAGAGTCCTCTCCTGCTGATGTTCAGGTGTATATCAGTATGTAGTGTCTCTACTTTAAAGAGTCCTCTCCTGCTGATGTTCAGGTGTATATCAGTATGTAGTGTCTCTACTGGGACATGTCTCCATGCTTTAATGTTCAAAAGTTTAATGTTCACCCTTTGCAGACATGCACTGAAAGCTACAGTATATAACACACTACAGGAAATACATATACATATTTATTTTTGACAGATTATATCCTAGATGATATTCTCATTGCCTCCTGCCATAAAATAATTGACGGGAACGAACGCAGTGCATCACTTTGTATGTTTTTTCAGAGCATTTCTGATTTGTTGTAAGAGGAGAGTTGAAAATGTATTCCAGTAAATTGTTTCTGGACATTAAATGAAAGTGAGCTGCACTGCTTCAAGTTAAAGAGCAAGAAGAATGACTCAACGCTGATTGTAGTCCTGGCGATCTGGAGAGTGGAGGCTGTAACAGAAAGGTCGCAGGTTCAACGTTTAAAGTGTCCATCCGGGCGCCCACGGAAAACCTGCTCGCCCTGACGACTGTCTCCTCTTCTAAATGCAAATCGAGCTCTCGATGGAAATACAGCAGCAGCATGTACTTGAACTGATGACTCATCTTTGCAACCCCAGAGAAATTAAATGGTTTAACTTTATAAAGGTTCACTACGATGTCTCATTTCTGTTCATCTATGAGATCTCTATGACCCACTTTAAATGTGGAGCATTACTTTCAAAGGATAGACTTAAATGTGTGTCAGCTTAAAAAAGTTCAAAGTAGAGAGCGAGGTGCAGGTTACGACTTCCTGTCCCCTGATCTGGAAGTCTATGGTTTTCTGAATGTGTTTTTGGTTGTTATCATGAAATATGGTCTGTGCTTATTACACAAGCTGATGATATTTTTATTCTACGACATAAAATATGTCAGTAAATACCCCACTGGGGAATTAAAAAACTGCTGTTGCTAACAAGTGTCTAAATGAGACGACTAAACGTCATCACGGCCAACATTAGCCACCTTTAGCTTAGCCGTGGTGACGTGAAGTCATGTGACCGTGCTGTAGTTCCTTTATAGCCCAACATTAGCCACCTTTAGCTTAGCGGTGGTGACGTGAAGTCATGTGACCGTGCTGTAGTTCCTTTATAGCCCAACATTAGCCGCCTTTAGCTTAGTGGTGGTGACGTGAAGTCATGTGACCGTGCTGTAGTTCCTTTATAGCCCAACATTAGCCACCTTTAGCTTAGCGGTGGTGACGTGAAGTCATGTGACCGTGCTGTAGTTCCTTTATAGCCCAACATTAGCCTCCTTTAGCTTAGCGGTGGTGACGTGAAGTCATGTGACCGTGCTGTAGTTCCTTTATAGCCCAACATTAGCTGCATTTAGCTTAGCGGTGGTGACGTGAAGTCATGTGACAGTGCTGTAGTTCCTTTATAGCCCAACATTAGCCTCCTTTAGCTTAGCGGTGGTGACGTGAAGTCATGTGACCGTGCTGTAGTTCCTTTATAGCCCAACATTAGCCGCCTTTAGCTTAGCGGTGGTGACGTGAAGTCATGTGACCGTGCTGTAGTTCCTTTATAGCCCAACATTAGCCGCCTTTAGCTTAGCGGTGGTGACGTGAAGTCATGTGACCGTGCTGTAGTTCCTTTATAGCCCAACATTAGCCACCTTTAGCTTAGCGGTGGTGACGTGAAGTCATGTGACCGTGCTGTAGCTCCTTTATAGCCCAACATTAGCCTCCTTTAGCTTAGCGGTGGTGACGTGAAGTCATGTGACCGTGCTGTAGCTCCTTTATAGCATGACATTAGCTTTTTACTTCAGAAATCATAAAGTGGTGTTAATAAGTGGAGATTATCCTGCTGAACTAAACGTGTAAGTATCAGTCTGACACTTAACGAGATTATTATGCAATTGTAGTGATCACTGATTCATACACTGGGGTTACATAATTCAATCCGGGAACTACAGGTTGGGGGTATTGTTTCCGCCCGGACATATATGTTGACGGTACCTCCGGGGTACCTACTGTGTGTCCTCCTCTTTCACTTTCTCTTCTCCTCTTTCCTGCAACCCGACAGCACGTCGATTTCTGCTCCCCAATAAAGAGAGATTTGCACCTCCGATGCACCGCCTCCGTCTCCCTTCTCTCGGCACTACACAATAATATAATCACATGGAGAAATTGTTGGATTCGTATCAATGCATTATTCATGAGCTGCCAGCATTCAATGTTGACGCAGGTGATTTATGTAGAGATACAGGTGGTGGGAAGCGTGTCAAACTGTCATGCTGTTGAGATGGCTTTCCCTGACAGACCTTCAAACAAACTGCTTTTTTTGTATCAGTGTTAATACTGTTTCTTATTCACAAGATTGGGAGGGTGACTTTTAAAATGCAATCTGTTGCAATGGCTGTTACCTGTAGAAATATGAAAACAGTAACTTCTGAGTGTCAGAGAACGCAGTAATAGTGAATATTAACAATCCTTTATTTAAATGAGTGCGTTGTCATCCATCATCTCTCTCCTTTAAAACCTGCTCTTTATTTCGGATCATTAAACTCAAACAGACCAAACTTCGCTTCATCGAAGGTCATCTGATGCTCCTCGCTCTGTGAGATATTTCATTTGCTTTCAACTCAAAATCACATCCTCTTTTAATAATCAGCAGAACCGCACTTTAATGATACCCTGTGTTCCTCGTCTTCAAAAGGATCAAAAATATCTTCAAAAACAACCTTTTTTTGTGAAGAGGCAACACTTAGTCTGTTTACTGGCTCAGAGAGTCCTGCTGTGAACCCTGAACTGTTCAGGACCCCAAAGTGTTATGTTAGGAATGTATAGCAGGGTCTCCAGCTGTTAGAAACTGCCAGGTGCTAACCTGCATGTCGGGCAATTTGCACGATTAGCATAAGTTGTGTTAATTATCATTAATGCAGGCAATAGCTAAACAAAGGTTTGGACAATTTGGGTGAGGTTTTTGAGGATGTTAAATCAATGTTTACATTTTCAGGATAAGAAAAGGCAGTTTTAACTATAGCTATTGTAACGTTGGAAAAGAAACCCTCGCTCTGCTGCTCCGAGGCATTGGGAACACTGGGAACACCACTTAGCATTAGGATCTTTTGTTAAACATGTTCTGAAGACAGCATGCTCACAGAATTGTACACTCTGTTTATCAGCAAAATGTGCAATCTGGAGGACTGTTCACACTTCCTGGGTGTATTTCCGGTGCAGTGTGAACCAAGCTTTACTATCCTCTAGTCCGCACTAGTTGTCAAAAATGAATATTGTAAGCATGTTTGATTCAAGATTCAAGGCTTTAGCATCATGTGTACACTAGCTACAGTGTAGATAAGGCAATGAAAAACTGAAGTCCCAACAGAGCAACATGAATATATATATATATATATATATATATATATAGGACATAGAACAAATAAAACAGATAAAATAGTGCAAGAGAATGTTTTGAGATGTGCGAGTAAAAACAAATAAAATATAAATAGTGCAAAAAGAGTCTATATAAAAGTAAATGGAATATGATATATAGATAAATAATTTGCACGATGCAAACAGATGAATGTTATGGATGTTCTTTACAGAGTTCAGGTGTTTAAAGTCCTATGTCCTGTGGGATGAAACTGTCCATGTGTTTTTATATTTGTGTGTATTGTTTGCAGGGAGCGCTTAATGCAGTATAAGATAAGATAAGATGAGATAAGATGAGATAAGAATAACTTTATTGATCCCAATTTGAGAAATGTTTGCGTTGCAGCAGCATCAAAAGACAAGACATTGTACATAAGAGAAATTAAAAGACTGGAAATAAACAATCCAAAATGTAAACATCAAAATAAAATTAACATAGCATTAAAAAGTAAGAGTAAAAAATATACATGTGGAAAATATACATGCGGAAATACAAATTTACATTATCAAAATATAAAGCAGGATATTATATATACATTAATTGGTTAAGAGGTTTATTATTATTTTTGTAGTGTTTTAGTTTTTGAGGAAAGGTCACACGAAGCTCCTACAACTCACACACCGTTGTTATGGCAAAAACAATTCAAGGATATTTTAGCGTCTTCATACTTTCTTGTGATCTTAAATACATTTACAACAGCCAGTCTGGATGTAGTGGAGGGGGTTACAGTCATTTTGATGGGAACAAATTCACTTCATCAACATCCTCAGGCCTCAGCAACACAACACATTTCATCCCCTGACTGACGCACATTTATCAAATCAACCACGGACACTCACAGACTCATAAACAGGGAACAGGGCTCATGAGGAGGGGGGGGGGGGGCGAACATAAACGCCACAAAGCTCTCATGGCTAAAAAGGGGAATATATTTTACTTTATTTTCGAGAATACAGTCGAAATGTAAAGAATAAAATCATTGTTTCTGCATTATTTCAAAAAATCGAACTCTTGAAAACAAAGTGAACGCCTCCGGGTGTGAAAACAGAAATATGTGCTTTTTAGCGTCTCAAGGGAGAGACATGCGCAAAGTGATGAAGGTTTCCTGCAGCAGCCTCTGAGAGAGAGGGGGAATGCGTGGGAGGGGACACGGGGTGTGAGGAGCGTTTCTCCGCGGATCCTGCACACCGGGATCTTTCCTCGTGAAGGGGAACACGGGGGGTTTATCACGGGGGTTCGGCTGCACGTGCGGAGGACCGTGTGGATATACAAGGGGGTGAAAACGCAAAGTAAGTGAAGCCAAGCTGAGTCTGTTTATATACTTTTGAACGTGGAGCTCAGGAAAAATGAATTGATTTTGACAGTCATAAAACCCTCCTGTTTGTTCATTAAGACAAAACCATTATTGTTATATTTCATTATATTTTACTGCTCAAGTTTCCTACATAATTATACTTTGTGTGCAGGATCATTCATGTTTGTTGTTTTTACATTATCATTCATGTTTGTTGATTTGTGAAGCCCTCTGAGACAAATGTGTTTTGTGATATTGGGCTCTATAAATACATTTGAATTTAATTGCATTTGTATATTGTTATTTAAATAAGGTTTTTACGTTTTTTATTATTGGTTACGTATTCTTCTTTCTGTGCCTCTGAATGCACACTTAGACCAAAGCAGATTCCTCATATGTGTAAACCTACTTGGTAAATAAAAGCGATTCTATTTCCGATTCTGATTAATCATCACCAGATTTATTTTTACATCCTTGTAAGCTGTGAACAGTCTGACTACTGGTTTACATGAATCCCTGTGGTGGATTTACAAAGAATAGACAGAAAATACAATAGAAAATGTTTTCCAAAATTAACGTTTTAATTGATTTGTGGGGGTAGTCATTAAATCTGATGTTTAAATATAATCTAGGGTAACCCATTCACTTCTTATGGCAGTCAATTTGACCGGGAACACAGTAGGTGTTACAGAGTGGACTAATCAACTCGAAATTCAATTAAAGTGAATGCAGCAATTTCATATGTTCATAGCCTGATGTGGATTTCATAGCAGTAAATCGGTCAGATTTGACCCAAACGACAGGAGGGTTAGGATATCTGTTTCCTCTTATGTGAGCACATTTAAAAAACAGGATGTTCATTTACATTTTCCTCATTTGCCAAATTATTTTTACAATCTCAATGCGCATAAGACTTAAAGTAAAGCTGTTGTTGTTGAACGGAGGATGATGTCAGCTGTCATCCAACTGTTGTCCAACTGTCATCCATCCGTCCGTCTGTTATCCATCCGACAACTAGTCAATCGCTCCGGTTATCACACATTCTTCATCATCCATCCATCATCCATCCATCCATCCATCAACCATCCATTATCACCCATCCATCCATCCATCCATCCATCCATCCATCCATCCATCCATCCATCCATCCATCAACCAACCATTATCATGAATCAATCAATGTTTATTTATATAGCCCAATATCACAAATGTTACATTTGTCTCAGTGGACTTCACAGTTTGTTCAGAATATCAGTATGACAATACGACACCCTCTGTCCTTACGTTTCACATCATACAAGGAAACACTTCCAGAGAAAAACCACAGTTTAAAGGGAAAAATGGGAGAAACCTCAGGGAGAGCAACAGAGGAGGGATCCCTCTCCCAGGACGGACAGACGTGCAATAGATGCCGTGTGTAAATCGAAGAGATAATACATTTACAACATAGGTAGACCAAATGTTTGGAAATGCATGTGTCTATAATAAGAAGATGAATCCACGAGGATGTCAACAATCCTGTGGGAGCCATCAGGGAAGTAGTATGATGAGAGTCAGGCAGGACCACAGAGACAGGTTCAGCCACGACTCGAAGTCCACGACTCAGATCCAGAACTCAGGATAGAGGATCCAGGACTCAGGACATCAGCAACAGGATCAGCCACGACTCATGATCCCGGCGTAGATATAGACACCAAAAAGAAATGTGGGGGAAGCTGGGTTATTCAGAACATGAGAGTACACAGGTACAGACAGACAGTCTAAGCCTATAGCAGCAAAACTAACGTGTCTACGCACATGCACTCCCCTAGGATAGGGTGAGGGAAAGGGATAGCAAGTAAGAAGTAAGGAACAGAGGTGGAGAGGCACAACGTGTCTACGTACATGCACTCCCTTAGGATAGGGTGAGGGAAAAGACTAGGAATTAAGATGTATGTGCCACATCTATACCATGAGTGCATTGCTCCTAAAAAGTTTTTTGGCACTGACACCAATCAACAGTTGTGCGTCGACTCGGCAGGGATCAAGGCACGTATATGCCTCTCCCTGCTTCCACCGTCTACACACACAACCAAATTACATCTATGCCAACGTGTCTACGTCAATGCACTCTTATTCGATTATTTTATCAACTATAAGCTTGATCAAAAAGGAAGGTCTTAAACGTACTCTTAAAAACGGATAGGCTGTCTGCCGCCCGAACACAAACTGGAAGCTGATTCCACAAAACTGGAGTAATGTGGTCCCTTTTCCTAACTGGTTAGTACACGTGCTGCAGCATTTTGAATCAGCTGAAGCGACTTAACTGACTTCTTGGTACACCCTGATAATAAAGAGTTACAATAATCCAGCCTTGAAGTAACAAATGCATGGACTAGATTTTCTGCATCGTTTTGAGGCAAGATATGCCTGATTTTTGCAATGTTACGTAGATGGAAAAAGGCAGTGCTTGAGATTGATTTTATGCGGGCGTTAAAAGATAAATCCTGATCAAATATAACACCAAGATTCCTTACAGTCTCACTGGAGGCCAAATTAATGCCATCCATAGTTAATATATCTTTAGATAGTTTGTTTCGTAGATTCTTTGGGCCGAGTACAATAACTTCAGTTTTGGCCGTGTTTAACATCAAAAAGTTTAAGGTCATCCACGTTTTTAAGTCCTTGAGGCAGTCTTGAATTTTATTTAGATGATTAATTTCATCAGGCTTGATTGATAAATATAGTTGAGTATCATCCGCATAACAATGAAAATGTACAGAATGATTCCTTATAATATTGCCTAACGGAAGCATATATAATGTGAACAAAATAGGTCCAAGCACTGAGCCCTGTGGCACTCCATGGCTCACTTTGGTTTGCATGGAAGATTCATCGTTGACACACACAAACTGAGAGCGTTCAGATAGATAGGACCTAAACCAGCCTAAAGCAGTTCCCTTTATGCCAACTAAGTGCTCTAGTCTTTGCAATAGGATGTCATCCATCCATCCATCCATCCATCCATCCATCATCCATCCATCCATCCATCCATCCATCCATCCATCCATCATCCATCCATCATCCATCCATCAACCATCCATCCATCCATCCATCCATCCATCCATCCATCCATCCACACAATTTAACCGACCAGTTTAGGTAACTCTGACCCCTTGCTCTGTTTACATTTCAGGTCATGAAGTGGATAATGGACAGCAGTTTCCCTGATGAATGAGAGCGCCCCCCCCGCCCTGTTGGACCGGTCCGGGCCGGCCCACTGCACCGTGTGCTGCTGCACGCTGGCCAACAAAGTCATCCTGGTGCTCTTCATGGGGCTGCTGGTCGTCGCCATCTTATTCGGGAACTTGGTGACTCTGGCTGTGGTTCTGGGGACTAAACACTTCCACACGCCGCAGGGGTACCTGAAGGCATCGCTGGCTGTGGCCGATCTGGCAGTGGGGGTCTTTGTGGTGCCGCTCTCCATCTACGCCGAGGTCCACCTCATGGTGACCGACTCTGCACTGGAGTGGACTTTGTACAACTCTAAGTACTTGAGTTTCCACCCGTGCAACATCATTGGGCCCATCTTCGCCGGCTGCACCTTTGTTTCCATCACAACCATCTTCCTGCTGACGATCGAGAGGAGCATCGCCGTGTTGAAGCCGCTGCACAAAGACTCAGTGATCACGAGGAAGAGGACCACCATCCTCATCGTCCTCTCCTGGGTCGGGAGCTTCCTGTTGGCGGTGTCTCCGATGGTTTTCAGCAGCGAGATTGCGCTGGAGTACAACTCCTGCAGCCGGATGTGTAACTACGCGCAGATGAACATCCAGGCGTTCAACATCCTCCTGCTCTTCCCGGCGTTTGACTTCACGCTCCTCGGAGCAACGATGGTCATCAACATGATCTCGATGTCCAGCATCCGGCAGCACTCGAGGCGCAGGAAACACCTGGCGGAGAGCGAGAGCCCAAGCACCAGCAAACCCACGTTCTCTGACATCAAAGCGGCCAAAACCATCGGCACGCTCACCGTGGCGTTTACCGCCTCGTTCACGCCAATCGCTGTCTTCGTGGTGGGGAATGTTTTGGGGAATAAATGGTGCAACTTTTCCTTTTTCGCCTTCTGGATTTTGGCCACCAACAGTTGCTGGAATGTCATCATTTACAGTGTGAGGGATCAGAAGTTCAGACTTTGTGCGCACAAGCTCCTTATGCCTTTCCAAAGAAAAAACACATCTAATGAGTAAAAAAAAGATGCAGAATCGCTCAAAGACTTAAAATGAGGAAATCATAATTTAGATGTTTGTTTGTGAGCCTCGTTAAGAGACATGTCTGCATGTGGTGTACGGTGCTGTGGTGATATTACAGTTTTAAAAGCATGGAGAGTTCTCAAACCGCCCAAAACTCTTCCATCAGGAGAAAGACGCTGCAGCTTCAGAAACGATGCAGATATGAAAACACAAATGTTCCTCAAGAAGAAACATCTTCATCAACTTGACAACACGTGCAGCTTTTAGAGAACATTCAGCAACTTGAGGAGACATGCGCAGCGTTTACTAAAAGCTGCAGAAACCAACCGCTGCAAGAAGCTCAGAACACAACGGAGACCAGGGGACACTAAAGAGTGACGCACACAGCTGGAGACCAGGGGACACTAAAGAGTGACGCACACAGCTGGGAGACCAGGGGACACTAAAGAGTGACGCACACAGCTGGGAGACCAGGGGATACTAAAGAGTGACGCACACAGCTGGGAGACCAGGGGACACTAAAGAGTGACGCACACAGCTGGAGACCAGGGGACACTAAAGAGTGACGCACACAGCTGAGAGACCAGGGGACACTAAAGAGTGACGCACACAGCTGGGAGACCAGGGGATACTAAAGAGTGACGCACACAGCTGGGAGACCAGGGGACCACTAAAGAGTGACGCACACAGCTGGAGCACCAGGGGACACTAAAGAGTGACGCACACAGCTGAGAGACCAGGGGACACTAAAGAGTGACGCACACAGCTGGGAGACCAGGGGACACTAAAGAGTGACACACACAGCTGGGACGGAGCGCTTGGTGACGTTCAGGATTATAAAGATGGTGTATATGTTTGTGTTGTTGCCTTGCTCGAGTTGTTCAGAGAGGAGTGGGAAATCAATTCAGCAGCAAGGTTAGCGCATTTTTTAATGCAGCGTCTTCTAACAAGCACAGTGCTGACATTCCCACACACTTTACTTGTAGATGAAATATTGCAAAGAAGTCCACACAACAAGTTTCAAACAACACAAAATATGATAATCCTTCCTTTGCTTTAGACTTTGATTTGATCTCTAACGTGAACTTAAGCTGTCGTCTCTGAACACAGTCAGAAAGAAAAACCCTTTGAAAGCATCACTTCCTGCTGGGCATATCGAAAGGACAAAATGTCTGCAGATCTAAAATCTATGAAACCCACTAATGAAACTGAACTGACTTTAATCCTTGTGGCTTACTGTGAAACAATGTCTGATGTCTTTAAAGAGGGGAACAAATATAAATATATAATTTTCCAGGTAAATCTTTTAACCAACTTCTGTCCTGATTATAATTTCCAAATATGTGTGTATTGTATTTGCATTTTAACCCTTTAAGATGTCACATTGTTTACATCATGCCTGCTGTTTTTTGATATACATTACATTACATTACAGTACATGTGATTTGTTGACAACATGCTGACTGCAGTGGGACTTGAACTTGCTACCCCCTGATTTGAAGTCCAGCACACTAGTATCCACTGAGCCACAGCCTCCCATATCCAGGTTATTTCTAGCTTGATATTTGTCTCAATGATTACATCGATTTTGATGCATTTATATTTTTTGTGTGCATGAAACTAGGAAAATAGCATGTATTTGCATCATGAGAAAATGTCTCAAACACGGGACAAATGATTAAAAAGTTTAAGTTTGAAGCCAGGAGTCTGTCTATAAAGCCTGGTTTAACAGAAAGCAGGATTTAATACTGTAATGGGATTCTAAAATGTGTTTGTTAAAGTCTGTATCTCGAATTCTCAGTTAATTATAGACTAAATGAATAAATAAAAACTCATACCCTTAACCAAAATGTACGCCATGAGCATGAACACTGTCTAAAACTATCAATTTAAATCCCCAAAATGTCCCTCGAGCGGCACGCGGGTTGAAGACGGGAGAATATTTGATTTTCTGGTGAATAATGAGTGTTGGAATATGTCCTATTTCAGAAGAGGATTCCTGCAGCAATCATACTTTAGTTTGCTGAGTAATTCAGCTCGTATTTCTGAGTGCATTGATCCGTGCTCTTCACCCTCCTGCAGCATCGAGTCCTTCAAACCCAGCAGGGTGAACAGTCTCTGCTCAGCATGACATGAAAGAGAAACCTCGACCCTCGACACGATCAATGTCAAAAACTCTGCTTCCTCTACTCGCTGTGCTGCTTCTTAGTCATCTTAGATTGCTGCAGGCTACCAGATCTTCAAGTGTTGTGATAAAAGGTATTTTCTTTCATCGATTAAACTTGTTTCGTCATGTGCATTGTCAAAGCTTCTTGGTCCTCTTCTTCCTCCTTTGCTTCAAGTTAGCACATGTCTTTTCTGCTTTAAAACCCTGTTGGATTTTGCAAGTCTGCTAGAAATAACGAGAGCTGTGACAATCTCTATTTGGGTAACTGTGGGCAGCTCCTTGTTGCATTTCATCGTGGAGATATAGTGTCCATCGTCGCTCCAATTTTAGTCTGCAAACTGTTATTTCCTTTAGTTTTCCAGACTCAAAATGCACTTACACTCAGTGAGTATTATTTGGACTCATCTTCAAACTCTAGGCTCTTAACAAACAAATGCCTGGCTGTAAAACGAGTGTGCCAAGCGCCTTGCTTTCCCCCTCTGATAAACCTGCATTTCTTCATTAAAGTCCGTGATTAATTGTTAATTAGTTTCATTTAGCTTCGCCTCGTGCTCCTCAGAGTCCTGTGTGACTCACAGCTTTATTGGCATTTTAATTACAGGATAGATTCCTGTACTCAGCGTTAGGCGTGTTAATTAAGATGTTTAATTGGAGGGGCTTTGTTTTTTACTCCCCTCAGAGGTAGAGGCAGTCCAACCCAGTCTCACGGCATTTCGTGTTATAGTCACGAAATTAATTTAATCTATTGGTTCGTGTTCACCAACACGATTTTAAATACAATGTATTTCTATTGGTAGTATGTTTCGTGCCTGCAACACGTCTTTCTGTCCGGTCGGGTCTTGGAAGACCAGAAGCTGTGTGGTTCATAAAAACATGTTCTTACTCAATATCTTACCCTAAGCCTAACCCTATCCCTTTTATTTTAAATTGTATAATGTCTGAGTTTTTTTGCCGTCAGTGAGGAAAAGAAATGTCTCAGAGCCTCAGAATACTGACATCTGTATTTTATGTCATCTTTTTTTCCTTCTAATTTGTTATTATTTGGTGCAGGCACGAAACATACTACCAATATTAATACATTGCTTCTAAAATCGTTCTGTGTCAGAATACTTAAATCTGTATTTTTTTAAATGTCTCTTTCCTTCTAATTTGTTATTATTTACATTGCTTTTAAAATCGTTCTGTGTGACACGAAAAAAATGGCGAAATCGTGTTGGTGAACACGAATCAATAGATTAATTTCGTGACTATAACACGAAATGCCGTGAGACTGTGTTGGGCAGTCACATTAGTTTCTACACACATGGGCTGCGTTACCAAACGTTTATTTATATTTCTATAAACCATCTGCCCTTACAAAGTATCTAATGTTTTATGTTATGCAGAGCCCTATAATAGAAGAGTTGCGACAGCGGAAGTCCAAAATGCTTGATCGTCACGTGGTTCATGGAGACTCAGATTGTTCCCGGAAGTTCGTGGCGGGCCGTTTGAACGCATTAATAACAGGAGATAGAACTGCGATTTTTGGTAATTAGTGGTCAATAAAGGTTTTCATTTGCAATATTTATACAACATATCGATATGTGTGTGTAGTAACATCAATATGTTTTAAAAAAAATAAGTAATGTGACCGTGCTGTAGTTCCTTTATAGCCCAGCCTCCTTTAGCTTAGCGGTGGTGACGTGAAGTCATGTGACCGTGCTGTAGTTCCTTTATAGCCCAACATTAGCCACCTTTAGCTTAGCGGTGGTGACGTGAAGTCATGTGACCGTGCTGTAGTTCCTTTATAGCCCAACATTAGCCACCTTTAGCTTAGCGGTGGTGACGTGAAGTCATGTGACCGTGCTGTAGTTCCTTTATAGCCCAACATTAGCCACCTTTAGCTTAGCGGTGGTGACGTGAAGTCATGTAACCGTGCTGTAGTTCCTTTATAGCCCAACATTAGCCTCCTTTAGCTTAGCGGTGGTGACGTGAAGTCATGTAACCGTGCTGTAGTTCCTTTATAGCCCAACATTAGCCACCTTTAGCTTAGCGGTGGTGACGTGAAGTCATGTGACCGTGCTGTAGTTCCTTTATAGCCCAACATTAGCCACCTTTAGCTTAGCGGTGGTGACGTGAAGTCATGTGACCGTGCTGTAGTTCCTTTATAGCCCAACATTAGCCACCTTTAGCTTAGCGGTGGTGACGTGAAGTCATGTAACCGTGCTGTAGTTCCTTTATAGCCCAACATTAGCTTTTTACTTCAGAAATCATAAAGTGGTGTTAATATGTGGAGATTATCCTGAAAATGAAAATAATAGTCCCCACGATAAAAATAAGAACCCCTTTGCATTTGTATTTAAAGTGATTACACATTTGAGATTGACTTGACAGTTGGAGGTCTCTGATTGGGTATAAGGATTCTATCTACTGTTTCTATCTAACAGTGTTTCCTCCAGATTCCCCGGAGCAGAGCGGGCTGTTGAGCAGCTCGTGTCGACGGAGATTTAATCTGACGCCTCTCTGCCTGTTTACAGCTGACAGCAACAACCAGATTGAATATGCTCCATATCGCTTCTCCCACACACTGTGTCCCACACACACTTTCTGCTATTTGTCCTGAAGAAATGCATCTGGCGCTGTGTTTATATCACAGACATGTAGAGCTGATGTTGAAGGAATCTTCTCTAAATCACTTTAAGCTGTTCCTTGTCAAGGCCTAATTACAACAAAGAAGCTTAAGCTGACATGTAGAATTGTACTTTAACAAAGGAAAGCTAATTTAAGTAAACTAAAGTGACTTGTTCTGCAGAAAACTGTCTCCAGTGACGTTATCATTCTTTATTGCTGC